ATCTTCGAAAGTTTGTAGAGTCTACATCACGTGGAAAGAAGAGGTGGAAAGTTGCTCCTCTGATTCCTGCTCGAGTTCAGATGATGAGTGTGCCAATGTTTGCTTGACGGGACTAAATAAAAGTGGAACTTCAAAGGTATTATAACAGAAAGATTGATAGCCAACAAAAGTTCAAAAGAGGATCCCAATGATAAGGACATTACGAAAGATAAGGATAAAAGCTTACGTGAGGATGATAATAAGACACCTCGAACCAGATACCTTAAGATTGGAAAATCACAAAGGATCATTCGTTAGATCAAATCCTTAGAGACATAAAAAAGGGAGTAAGTACTAGGTCACAGGCTAACAATTTGTTTAAATACTTTTCTTTCATTTCTCATATTGAACATAAAACGATATTTGATGCCTTACTTAATGAGGGATGGTGGACTATCACAAAAGATCATCTATTATATCAAATCATTAGAGACATCAAAAGGGGAAAGTAAGTACTAGGTCACATGTTAACAGTTTTTGTAAGTATTTTGCTTGCATTTCTCATATTGAACCTAAATCAATATTTGATGTCTTACTTGACGAGGGATGGTCACTTGCTATGCAAGAGGAACTATTCTAATTTAAAAGAAATGACAGTTGGAACCTTGTTTCGTGTCTGATTGATAAAAACGTCATAGGCACAAGATGGGTATTTAGGAATAAGATGGATAAAAATGGAGTAATTACGAGAAATAAACCTATGTTAGTGGAAAAAGGATATAATAAAGCTGAAGGGGTCGACTACGAGGAAACTTATGCCTGTAGTCCGCCTATAAGTCATTAGACTCATTTTGGCATTTGTCTGCTGCTTGGACTTTAAGCTTTACCAGATGGACGTTAAGTTTGATTTTTTAAACGACCATATAAATGAAGAGGTTTACGTCTCACAACCTTCGAGTTTTGAGGATCACGATAATCCTAATCATGTTTTTAAGTTGAAAAGAGCCTTATATGGTGTCAAATAAGCTCTTAGAGCTTGGTATGACATATTGAGTGGATATTTTACCAAACAAGGATTCAATTGTGGGAAAGTCGACACCGCCTTATTGATAAGACATAAGGAAAAATATATTCTTTTAGTGCAAATTTATGCAAATGATATTATATTTGAGTCTACTAATAAACCTCTTTGTCGAGAATTTTATATTTTGATGCAGGGGGAGTTTAAGATGTCCCTTATGAGAGAGTTAACATACTTCTTAGGATTATAAATCAAGCAAGGTGAAGAAAAGACTTTCATAAGTCAAAAACGTATTGTCTAGATCTTCTCAAGAAGTTTGAGATGAAATATTCAAAGACTATCTCAACTTCAATGGATTCAAATGTGCTCATAGACAAAGATGAAAGAGGAATGTATTTTGACATAACCAAGTATCGAGGTATAATCAGATCCTTACTCTATTTAACCGCGAGTAGGCCTGATATCATGTTTAGTATATTCACGTGTGCTAGATATCAACCATCACCTAAGGATTCATTGTTTAAAATCGTTAAATGTATTTCGAGGTATCTTAATGGAACCTTCAATCACGGCCTTTGGTATACAAAGGGAAGTGCTTGTAGTTTAGTAGGATATTTTGATGCCGAATTCGCGGGGTGCAAGTCGGATATGAAGAGTACCATTGGTACTTGCCACTTGTTTGGAAGTTGGTTAGTTTCTTGGCATAGTAAGAAATAACATATTGTTGATCTTTCTATCATCGAGGCTAAATATGTAGTTGTCGGTAGTTGTTGTGCATAAGTCATATGGCTTAAGCAACAACTATTGGACTATGATTTAAAACTTGGTTGTATTCCGATTAAGTGTGATAGTACTAGTGTTATAAGTCTTACTAAGAATCCAGTATTACACACACGGATTAAACACATTAGGATCCGACACAATTTCCTAAGAAATTATATGGAGAAATGAGACGTTATTTTTTAGTACGTTGACACCAAAAGTCAACTTGCTGACATTTTTAAAAAATCGTTGCCTTCGAAATCCTTCCACAAAATCTGTAAGGACTTGGGGGTCTTAGACTCATCTTGCCTTAAGTAGAATAAGGTTTTGGTTTTTAGTTTCGTTTGATATATATATTTTGATTGGACTAACACTTCTTATAGAAAATCGTAGCTTCTACCAACCTACAATGGTATGTCTCTAACCCTTGTATAAATCTATGTATTTTGTGCTAGAGCTATGCATTGGTTTGTTTATTTCCTCAATATCCCACAAATATATATCTAGCTTATGTCTTTGATTGTTCTTACTTGCATTTAAGTCTTTTGAACGTGTTTTGCTATTTATATGCATTAAAACGTTTGATTACTTGTTCATGCGTTATTTATAATTGTTAATGCATACCTTGATTTACAAGTTTGATCATTTAATTGTTAGCCATTGAACGCTTGTGTTACATGTCTATTTGTGTTATGTTGCTTGTGACATGTTTATCTTTGTTGAATATGTGATCATGGTTGGTGTATATGCTTCTTAGCTATTTAGATAACGTGTTCTTTGGAATTATAGGTTAATGGTTGTTTTCTTTGATTTTTAGACGCATTTCGAACTATCTCTTTTGATGTTGTCAAAGGGGGAGAAGTGGTAATGAGTCTAGAATTGTTTTATGCGTTTTTATGTTGTGAGTTGTTTGTGTGCATTGTTTCAGGGGGATTTATATGTGCTACTCAAAATTCAACTCAATTACAAGTGAAAACTTGCCAAGCATAAAAAAAAGGGAGATTGTAGTTGCATGTCTCTATTATGGCGTTATTTTTTTGCTTGTCTTATCACTTTCATCTTTGTTTTATTTTGATTCGTTGAATCTGTTTCATATTTGCATTTCTCGTGTTTAGCATGCATAAAACTTTGGTTAGATTTGATCTTGATCTAAATCTTCTTTGATCAACAACACATGATAGTGAAATGAAATCACTTTCTGTTTTTAGACAAACTTTAGCTTAAGGTAAAATCTCAAAAAGCTTTTGAAAAATTGAAAATTTGAGATTTTACAAGATAGTTTCGAATAATTCAGTTTTTACATTGAATCTTTGATCCCGATCAAATTTGATAGTAGCTTAATTCAACAATTTGATCCTTATTAGTTTTACACTTGATCCTGATCATTTTTTTGAGAACAAATTTTGTCTGATTTGATTCGAATTAGAATTTCTACATGATTCAAATTAATTTCATTTTTCACTAATCATGTTTGTTTCTGTTTGATTTTATCCGAATCAAATTCATTTTACTAAAAATCTTACCAGTACTGTGTTATTTGATCTAAATCAAACTTTATGTTTGATTCGAACTAGAAGGCATTTTATTCTAATCATGTTTTCTCTGATCCGAATCAACTGCCATATTTTTCAAAAATTGATTATTTCTTTCATTTCACCTCATTTTGCTCATTTGATCCGAATCATATTTCTTTTATTTCACCTCATTTTTCTCATTTGATCCAAACAATAACTGCATAATTTTGCAACTTCATCTTCGACCATTGGATCCAAATTATATTTCTTTAAAGTAGAACAATTGACTAGTAAGATCTATGTTAAAAAAAACAAGTGGCATATCACAAGGTTTTGCGTGGGTATGTGGTGTGTCTCTAATAAGGCGTGTTGATTATAAAGAAAAACTCCAAAAATGAAAATGTTTGAAAATGAAGTTGAGCCTTTGGTTCGAGCGAAGGGTCGACTCACTTGTATCAAAAATCTTCCCCACATGGTGGCGGGTAAGAGATATGCACTGTTTGAAAGTGTGTCACAACGATACAAGTGTATGTGGATCAAAGAGCTTCCGCTTGAGGAGGGCCATTGTGGATAGAATCACACTTGAGGAGGGTGTTGAAAAAAATAAGTGTGAGTTGAAAGTGTAAAGAAATAAAGTGTAGGGAAGCTCCACATTGATTAGAAAAATGGAGTCTTAAGCATTTATAAGTGAGAAAATTCACACATTATTTATCTTAACATTTTTGGTACGTATGTGGTGTGTATCTCACAGAGTGTCTTGTTCATAAAAGAAGACTCCAATATAAAGATGTTCTCCCGTGGTAACCTCTAAGATTTGATGACCAAAACAATTTAGAGTACTGATTCAATGTGTTTGAAAAATGGTAAAACTTAGAGCTCTAATTCAATATTTTAAGGAATGACCCGTAGAATTCATGAATTACAATAAAAGAATTGTAATGTTTACTAGCAATATACATGTGCGTGCATTCGCACAAGTAAATTTATTTAATACGATATAAAATATATTTAGATAAACATGTAAATTTGAAATGAAAAAAATAATTTAAAAAAAATAAGAAAATTTTCACATTTGAAAATAAAGAATTCATCTTTCAATTAAAGACAATTATTAGTTAAAATAAAATATATATTATTTTGATAATGAGCCGTGAAATGTAAAGTTAGTGGTGTATATCATTATTGAGTGATATTCAATTTGATAAAATGTTAAATATTTTTAGATACACATCAAGTATCTATCCATTAAAATTGAGTTTATATTCAGTTTGATCATTGTTTATTTTACAATTGAGTTTATATTTAATACAATTGAATTTATATGAACAATGATTATATATACTCAATTGTATTAAATAATTAGAGAATTGTTTATAAAGATTTGAAAATAAAAATTTTGTTTATAAAGAGAATTGTTTATTTAAAGAAAATAGATATTGTGATAGTATAAAATGTAATGTATTTAGATACTAAGGAGCCAAATTTTGAAAATCAACTTAAAGTTTCCTTCCACCTTCTTGAAATCATTTCTTTTTCAATCTCTCTCTAATTTCTTGTTCATAGAGAGACACACACTCTATTCATTTTGATCATTTCCCTCCAATTCCTCTTTCTCCGCAAATTGACCATTTCCTCCTCAAAATAGCATCTTCACCTTCTTCTTCTTTTCTTAAGCCATAAAACTTTCTTAAAACTAAAACACCTTCATCTTTTTTTTTTCAGCCATGGCTGAAGTTCTACACTCTCCAACACCAACATCCCATTTTTCTTCATCTACCACTCCTCCTTCTGACACCACCATTCTCATTCTCACTACCGACGAAGAACAACAACCACCACTCTCTTCTTCTTCATCTTCTTCTTTTTCTTCTTTATCCGTGGCAGTTAACAACAGTTTTTCCACAGTAACCGAATGTGACGCAGAGGGAAAAAAGACAGAGCAGGAGCTATCCCTTTTGGCCATTCTTGTGACCCTTTTAAGGAAATCCTTAGTTTCTTGCTCCAGTGATGCTGCTGCCATGGAAATCGGTCACCCTACTAACGTGCGCCATGTTGCTCATGTTACCTTTGATAGGTTCAATGGTTTCTTGGGTTTACCTCTCGAGTTTGAACCTCAACTCCCCACTGTACCTCCTAGTGCAAGGTAGATTCTTTCTTTCATTCATTCATTCTTGTTATCAATATGTTACATCATGTTCTTCTCTTTTACTTGTTTTGGTGAAATGTAGTGCAACTGTTTTTGGAGTTTCGACAGAATCTATGAAATTATCGTATGATACAAGAGGGAACATTGTGCCAACAATTCTACTACTCATGCAAAGACACTTGTATGCTCAAGGAGGATTACAGGTTTCAATTCTCTATAATCTTACTATTTGGTCATCAGGGTTCGAACTCTGGTCGCCACGTAAGTTGTCCTCAAAACCGAAGACATATTCTATATGTGATTTTTTTTCCTGGTTAATCATATGCAGGCAGAGGGAATTTTCAGAATTAACGCAGGTAATAATCGAGATGAATATGTCCGGGAACAATTGAATAAGGGAGTGGTTCCTCAAGACGTTGATGTGCATTGTTTAGCAGGATTGATTAAGGTATCACATTGAAAAAGAAGCATTATTATTGTATGCGCGTTTTTCTGTGTTTCTATTGCGCTTAACTGTGTATCGAATTTATGCGGCTCTTGAAGGCTTGGTTTAGGGAGCTGCCTAGAGGTATTCTGGATTCTTTATCTCCGGAGCAGGTAATGCAATGTCAAACAGAAGAGGATTGTGCAGAACTGGCGAATCAGCTGCCTCATACCGAAGCTTCCCTTTTGGAATGGACTGTCAATCTGATGGCTGATGTTGTTCAAGAGGAGCCTCTCAATAAGATGAATGCACGCAACGTTGCTATGGTTTTTGCACCAAACATGACTCGGGTTAGTTAGTTTCAATCAATTTTTAATCACAAAACATTGTCAGTCTGACAAGTCACCAGACACGGCACTGATATGTTTATGTTGACACTATTTGTTCGCTACATGTTTTCTACATTATTTGTTCGAAATTGGTCATGTTTGTGACCATACTTTTAACTATAGTGAAGTTCTGATTGCAGATGGTAGATCCTTTGACTGCATTGATGTATGCAGTTCAAGTGATGAACTTCTTGAAGACACTTGTATCAAGGACATTAAGGGCAAGAAAGGAAGGATTCTGATATAGAATCATCACCTGAAAATTTTATACAGAACCTTTTGATACTGCGATAAAAAATGAAGTGCTGATCAATCAAGCAATTTGAGCTGCATAGATTGATATCTGGCTGTGAATTGATTCTTTTCTAACATTTATGGCACTATATGTTTGTCTGATTTGTCTTAAGTTGCAACTTGCAAAGATAAGATTTAGAACTAGTTCAGTTTTATTGTTTCCTTGGTTTGTTTGAAGTTTATGCAAACCGCAATTTAAAACCATTATTGTAATTGAAACCTATAAATAGATATAGTATATGAAGATATAACTGATAATGCTGTTAATATTATAATATAGATATCTCTTCACCTCAATATATATAGATTCAAGTAAGAACCATCCAATATATATAACAGAATAAAAAGATACCAAAAAAATAATAGCCTCCTACACAATAATGGCATATTGCTCCTGATTTTACTTCATCTCATGCTATTTTTGGGTCCCTTTCCCACTTTTCTCTCTCCCATAGTTCCAACCACAACAAACAAATTCTCAAAAATTATTGTTGTTTGTTTTTTCTATTCCTCTCTTAATATATGTTATGTTTTCTCTTGATCAAAAACAAAACATTTTTATCAAAAACAAAAAAACATCAACCTTAAAAACCTAGGAATTCTCAAACATCATCATGTCATGCAGCCTTCAACAAATATTTGAAAATCCTCCTTTGCCTGCAGAAAGCCCAACAGTACTTCTTGATCAATCCCTTTCATCATGGAAAAACCAAATCAAAACCATGCGTCATTCATCTTCCTTCACTGAAATTTTTGAAGAGCTTTGTAGCGAGGCTATTACGCCGCAAACATCACCATCACCATCACCATCGTTATCATCTTCATCATCATTCCCGGATATAGTAAACTATATAAATCCTATTCAAATTAATAAACCTCTATCTTCAAGGGAAGAGAACTCAATTTTTAACAAAAGGAAAGTATCTTTGAGTTTAGGGAATTTGAATATTTGTACAAAAAGAGTAGAAGACTTCGAACAAAAAGAAGATGATGATTTTGATGAAAAAGATGGCGAAGAAGATGGTGGCAAAAAGAATGAGGGTTTAGAAGGAAAATGGTCATGGGAGTATGGTCGTACAAAAGAGGTGAATGAGTATCCTCCTCCAATATCATGCATAGGGAGAAGTGGAAAACTTTGTGTTAATTTTGTATCTTATAGGAACAATGGAAGGTTTGTTCTTAAACAAGTTCAAATACCAACACAAGATTTTCTTCGTGCTCATAGAGAAGATGGAAGGCTCACCTTGCATTTTGTTCAGCACGATGGAGAGGGACAAGAGTTTTCAGAAGATGAAGATGATTATGATGTGGTGTAGAAAGTAATGTAGAAAAAGAAGAATATTATAATAAAGGTGGTGTAAAATGATAGATTTAATTAGAAAATTAGTTTTCAAGAAGCACCAGTGGTCTAGTGGTAGAATAGTACCCTGCCACGGTACAGACCCGGGTTCGATTCCCGGCTGGTGCAAAGTCTTTTTATTTTCGTTATTTTCAGCTAGCTGTATTTTAACTTACTATTATGTTATTTGAATGAAATGAAGGATTGATTTCGCATTTACAAATGCATCGTATATGTCTTACTTCCATTTAACAAAAATCGTTGATTTACTGATATATATCAAGATCTGTGTGGCTTTAGTTTTCATCACAGTTGTTTTCACCTAAAATTTTGCTACTTTAAATTGTTTTCATATAGCTGATATATAACGGAATAAGTTCTCCATAAACACTTGTGAAAATAAACTTCTGTAAATTGAACCTAAACTCGGTTGAAATGTCGCTGAATGTGATTTTTCTTACAAAATATGTCCTTCCCATTTCGCATGTTACAGTTTCACTGTTGATGCTCATCATGCTAAGAGGTAGTAAGGATAATAGTTGATGGGTCATATGGAAAACAATGTAAGCAAAAAAAGAAGTAATCCATCCTAACAGTGTGATGGAATAAAATCAGAGTGATGTGTAGTTATTTATTTTTGTGCAACTGTTGCAACCGAATTGAATTCAAAAGCAAGTATCACAACTGAAATCTTCAATCCTCCTGCACTTCTGGCTTCTTTGCAGTGCCTTTAAGGTACCACCCTACAGCTGCAAGAATTGTTATAGTGCCAGCTACAACACCATAATTCCGGTATTTGTCGGTTGAAACTTTGGCACTTGATGTTTCGGCATGAGCGGAGCTACTTGGTTTGGCATCGGTTACTGTACCACTTGAGCCTGCAGCTGGCTTTGCTTCTGGTTGAGGACCCTATATTAGAATATATATTTAACAGTAAGTTCAAAGCATGACATTGATAGAAAATGCAGACGAACAAGAACAACAAAGAAAAATGAGATAGAGAGAATGCAAAAAATGTAATTTATGGTGTGATAGAAAAAAGAGATAAAAATATAGATAAGGTGAAAAAATTACGTGACAACAAAAACGCGTGAGAATATAAACTAGAACTCAAAAACAAATTATTGCAACCAAGTCAATTTAACAGGGTCTCAAACAAGTAACTCTGCAAATGCAAAAACCTTGAAGTCTTCATTCAGTAAGAACAGCAAGTGGCAGAATATAAAGATAACATTGCAGATTATTTGGTTTGGTCCTTTGGTTAGAGTATGATTAAAAGACTTCCATTTTAACCTTAAAAAGTATATAATCCAAAGGTGAAAAAGAAAAGGGAAGTGAAACAGCAAGTTCCACTAGTCAAAGGAGAGTGGTTATATGAGTTAATAATAATCATGCTTAGAGGGAAACAATACAACTTAAAGTTCCACTTTAATTGTCATACTTTTTTCTGCTAATTTCTGCCAACATAATTATTTGTCAATTGCCAATTTTTCAAGTTTCCATTTTACCGTCATCAATTGCTGAAAAACAACTCCCCTTTCTCCTTGTGTCGCCTCACTTAAAACTCATTTCTTTGATTCATTAATCATGTAATGTCAACAAGCATCATCTAGTTACAGTAAGATGTGACAACCAGTGTTATCGATGGCGGAGAGCCAAAATCCTGCCACATCGGCCTCTTTGTAGCGCCGTTATAGCGGGTCATGGCAGAAAAACCCGCAAAATCAGCTGATATTTACCACAGCGGCAAGCTCAAAACCCCCCATGTATATACGCCATAGCGGCCATGGCACCGCAATTTGATAACACCGGTGACAACAGATTTCATCGAGTATAAAAATCTAAATTATCCACGAATTTATGCAATCTCCCAACATGACATGACAAAAGCATACTTTGGCACCAACATAGTGTAATCAAGTTTCAGAACCATAGCAGAATGTGTTCGGACTGTAGTAAGCATGTGCTTCGGAATATGCAGATAGAAGATTAATATCTAAAATAAAAATGTTGAAAGATAGTGAACCAGCTATGAATTCAAGATACTCTAAAATCACTAAAGTATTAGCCTTGTGTCTGTATCTGATTTTATATGCATATCATACACCTAAATATAAATATTTAAAGAGTATCCTCTATTTATTTTTTTAAAATTGTTGACCCATACATTTGGAATATGATTCATTGAGTTTAGAATACAACACCAAAACTTTGCTTGACCTTCTTGTACAACCTAGTTCTTATATTGTGAGAGGAATTAGAGTACACTCATTTATTCACTGTTGTTGGGGAAAAAACAAAAAGAACCCAAAAAGGGTAGGAGGTTTGGTTTATGTCCAACCTTTGACTTCGGTTTTGAAAAGATAAAGGGTATAATTAATGAAGGGGAGATGAGATTATTGGATGCTAATGGGAATGTAAATAATCCACTTGAAGATGGCAATATACTTCTATTTGGCATAGTTGTCTTATTATGATCTAGACTTAGATGCCATACATTCTTGGATAATAGGAATCGGCAACACAACAAAGATATAGTTAACATTAGACAATTGTGTAGAATCAAGACTTCCTTTTTCATTATGATCAGATCACATGTATTATTTTGTAAACTGGAATCATCATTTATGGGTAAGGTTTATCTTCAAAAAAATATCAATGTCAGTATATAAATATCACACTTTTTATATATTTGTGTAAATATTAATCATGGCCCTATGTCATTTCATATCTTCATCTAATATACATGTTGTATCATATTAAGTATCTGAGCTTCATAGTCAACCAACATTCATATTATCACTCTTTTATGTTTGATAATAATATTAACACTCTTTATCTTTTGGGAAATGGTCCTCCATGTAAAAAATCATATGATTAATGCTAAATCTACTTTTTATATCATCCAACTGCGGATGAGGGCATTTGTTAACTGTGTGCACCCTTCATTCTTAAGACTTAGAGGTCACATTTAATGCTGAATCTTTATAGGAACAATTTGGATTTCCTAATAAGCAAATGCTGAAGTTTTTTAAAACAATGTTATAGGCCAAATTACAAGTTTTTGCAAAGGTTAATAAATAGCCTAGCCATAAAGTAGCTGCCTTGTATTTTAGAGTATCTGAATTTTATATGGGTAAATGAGAAAATTCATATATTGTTGGAACAAACTAAACCAATAAAACTTCTGATTGATCATTTTTCACCAACAAAATATGATAAAAACACTAAATCAGAAAACTAGATGTGGAATAACAGGTTAAAGAATGACCACCTAAACCGAACCTAAACCTAAATGTTAAATACTTTCAAGTTACAGCAGCACATTTGTATAATATTAACAAAATAAGGTGAAATTTTAGGACATACCTTGCGAGCAAGCTTCTCCAACTTCTCTTGCTCAGCTTTCTGCAATATAAAAAAAATAAGTAAACCACCACATCATCAACATGCACAGACCTTTATTGATGTAGACAAAGTCTACCAGCATAAGCTAAAGCTATAGTTTTCTTTCCGGCTTTTGAGTTGATTAGTAACCAAACATGTATATTAAGCTGTTGAGCCGCAATCTATTTTCTAGGCAGACGTTGGACTAATAGATTAACAGAG